AGCTTTTGATTGATGGGGGCTAATGCCAAGGAGGGGTGGACCAGAGAAGCAGGCCCAGCCGTGGCCCTGGGGCAGAGCGCAGGTTGGATAGCAGAAGTGACACCAGGTTCCTGCTGTGAGGGAGGACGTCAGGTGGGCGAGAGCCTGGGCCTGGCAGGCTTAATCAGCGAGCAGCGAGAGGCTGAGTCGCAGAGCCAGGGGTCTCCATGGGTCAGTGGGACTTGGAGGCACAGGGAAGACTGAGTCAGACGGGCCAGGTGCGCCTGGAGGTGGGTCTCCCCCAGCCAGGGCTGAGGCCAAGGAGCAGGAGTCGGGGAGACTGAAGAGGCCCAGGCTGGGGAGCTAGGCCCTGCCCAGGCCAAGGGAGAGGGGCTGGGCAGCAGCCCTGGGTCCCCACGGCCTGGACAAGGAGCGCTGGTGGGGGAGAAGGGAGCTGGGAGGGAGGGCCACCGACTGAGCCACTCGGCCACACTCGCCTGCAGCTCGTGGAGGTGGGAGGGGCGTCCTGGGTTGGCTCTGGGGAGCATTCCTGGGTGGGGACCCGGGAAGGGACCACCGTGCCAGTCACACCTGGGCCCAGGGGCACTCGGGTGCAAGCGGCACACATGGCTGCCCTGTCTCGAAGGAAGGGTGGCTTTGATACGCCGGCTCCAGCCCCTCCTGTGGGTCTCCGCTCCTGTTGGCCCCAAGACCACTCCCCAAGAAGGAGCAGGGGGCCACTCAGCAAAGGTGACCTGGGTGGCACCACAGTGTTCACCACGGGGGTGGGCAGCTGTGGGGGCCAGCGTCACTGCTGCAGGACAGCGCAGAAGTCACACACTCACGGGGGCCATGGGAGAGGCTCAGGGTGACCACTGTGTCCCTCGCCTCTCTGTCCCAGGTGTCAAACGCAGTCCAAGGTCCCACCCCAGTCCCAAGGCTCAGGAGAGTGTCCATGTCATCGTGAACACAATGGGGCACCGAGGATGACCAGAAGGGGTGGCAGACACCTGGTGCACCCCAGCTCTGCCTGGTGCAGACCAAGGACAGCAGGATCCCACCACCGGCCTCAGCCTGCCCAGGTGTGGGCGGGGGGCTCGGGGCTGCAGGCCAGGCAGGAAGGGGACGCCCTCCCCCTCCCCAGCTGGCACCGGGGGGGGGAGGGAGCAGCACTTGGGTGGCAGAGCCCTAGGGAGGGGGTGGTGCCATCCTTCTGGCTGCGCCAGGTGCCACCCACAGGCTGCTCACCGCAAAGGGGCCCCGGGGCTTTCCCCGTGCCACCCGCTTCCACGCTGGCGCTCCCCGCCCAGCAGGGCCTGCTCTGGGCTGGGTCCCGGCAGCTGCAGCCCCGATGGTGGCCAGGCTCCCGGATCTGACCCTCGCAGGGCAGGTCAAATCAGTAACCCCTCTCCTGCAGCCAGCTGCAGTTTATTGAGCACCGACTGCATGCAATCACTGGGAGAAGCACCGGGGAGCCAGGAGGGCCTGCTGTCTTGGAGTTCCCATCACCAAGGAGGCGAGAGCGCGGGGTGAGGTGTCCAAGGCCACACAGCTGGGCTCAATCCCCGTCGGGCTCTGAGGTCCCTTTTTCCTGGAGCCACTCTCTGGGCTCCCCTC